GAGCAACGGATTCCGGGATTGATGTACGCAGACGATATAGTGCTGCTGGTGGATAATGCGGAAGAACTTCAAAAACTGGCTGACATTTGTGGTGATGAGGCAACGTACCTAGGCCTACATTTTAACCCACAGAAATCTGGAGTCATGGTGTTCAACGAGGAAGCTCATGTAGCACCAATAAGGATACAACAGGAAGCCATACCATTAGTAAATAAGTACAAATACTTGGGGATCTGGCTTAATGAAGGAAAAGGCTACCTGAATGCTCATGAAGAACACCTCAAACTGAAAGGGAGACGAAATGCAGCAGTAATGAAACATAGAGCACTTTGGGGACACAATAAGTACGAGGTAGTACGAGGCATCTGGAAAGGGGTAATGGTGCCGGCGCTCACGTTCTCTAATGCCGTATTATGCTTAAAGTCAGATATCCTGTCGGGGCTGGAGGTTAACCAAAAGGCAGTCGGCAGGTTAGCTCTGGGAGCTCGCAGTAAGACTACAAACGAGGCTGTACAAGGCGATATGGGTTGGGCTTCATTTGAGGCGAGGGAAGCACAAAGTAAAATACGGTTTGAGGAGCGACTTAGACATTTAGATGAGAAGAACTGGGCAGCCAGAGTGCACAGATACCTGTACCTGAAAAGTGTGGACACCCAATGGCGGAAGAGGACGCGAAAGCTGGCGACTAAATATAACTTGACCGCGGCAAATAAGCAAAGGGGGCCAGTTAAAAAGCAAGTGAGGGAAACAGACACGCTCATGTGGAAAGAGAGGATGGAAAAGAAGGGATCGCTGGGAATCTACAAGGCAAGCAAACAAGAGATCCGGAAAGAGAACTTTTATGACAACAATAAAGGTAGTGCGTTGCTCTTTGAGGCGCGGGCTGGCTGCTTGAGAACTCGTACTTACAGGAGCAAATATTCGTCACAGGATGAGACATGTGTTGGATGTGGCATAAATAAAGAAACAATCGACCACATAGTCATGGAATGCCAAAAGATTCAGCCGGGTAGGAATGGGGGGAAGGTCACACTTCCTGAAGCGCTGGGCTTCGCGGTTGATGGAAGCATTAACTGGTCAGCAGTAGGTATTACTAAGCAGCGGCTGGAGGATTGTTGGAGGAAAAGCAGAGAAGTCGATAAAATAACATCCCAGCCAAGAGTAGCGGCTGGGCAAAATTAAAAAGACATCCGAGTTGAGGGACAAAATTTAAACTCGAACTATTAAGGTAGGCTAGATGGCGCATGCCGTCACCCCGATTCAAAGGGGAGGCCTTTAATCATCATCATCATCATCATCATCATGTGTCGTAGCTTCGCCCAGCCTTCTCTGCAGTCTCTGTCTCGAGTGTGCGTTGTACACCTCGGTTGTTTGTGCTGGGAGTAGCTTCCGACTGTCGCGATTCTTTGTGTTGGTGTTAGGCCTCGGCTAACGTTTGTTGTGGTAGCGGCGGTTGTAGCTTCCCGTCTGTCGTGATTCTGCTGTTCCGACTTGATGGCGTGTGCCCGCGGCAAATATTGTGCCAAAACACTTCAGGAGAAAGCTGATATCCTGCGGGAAGTAGACGCCGGACTCTTGCCTAAGCAAGATATCGCAAAAAAGCATGGGATACCGAAAACGACGCTATCTAATTATATAAAAAATGGGAGGACTATTGAAGACGCCTTTAGAGGCAGAAGTTGCGAGCAAAAGGAGGAGGTTGCGGCCGCCCGCAAAGTATCCTAACCTTGAGAAAGCGCTTCTCATGTGGATAAAGGAATTGCATTCGTAGGATATACCACTAGTGGCCCAGTTATACTGGCAAAGGTGGCGGACTTCGCCCTGCAGCTAGACTACGACTACTTCGCTGCTTCAGGTGGGTGGTTGTACCGTTTTCGCGAGCGCTACGACCTCATTTTCCGTACTGTGTCGGGTGAAATGAACGCCGTCAACATGGAAACGTGTGAAGGTTGGCGCTCCGAAGTGCTTCGAAGCTACATGGAGAAGTATTCTCTGCAGGACATATTTAATGCGGATGAAACTGCCTTATTTTTCAAATTGCTGCCCGCCAAAACTATCACGTATAAAGGCGACAAGTGCACGGGAGGGAAGAAAAGTAAAGAACGGATAACTGTGATGGTTGCTGCGAACATGACCGGGATTGAGAAGTTGCCTCTGTTTGTGATAGGCAAATCAAGAAGTCCTCGTTGCTTCAAGAACATCCGGTCCCTCCCATCAGACTACGCGGCCAACAAAAAGGCCTGGATGGTGGGGGAATTGTTTGCGGAGTGGCTGGGGAAGCTTGACAAGAAGTTCGAATGCTGTTGCCGCAAAGTCCTGCTTCTTGTGGACAACTGTTCGGCTTTTAAAGTCAACGTTGAGACGAAGGCCATTGAGCTGGCCTTCCTTCCAGCAAACACGACAGCGGTACTGCAGCCCATGGACCAGGGTATAATTAGAAATTTGAAAGAATTTTAACGGCGTCATATGTTGGAACGAATTATTTTGTGCAATAACTACCAAGTGATGCTCCTAAGTGCACTACACATGCTTGTGCATGCTTAGGAGGAAGTGACAGCGCTTACGATAGCAAATTGCTTTCGTCACTGTGGCTTCAGCACCGAAGCTCTGCAAGCTGACGAGCCACCAGTGCTGGAACACGGCGTCACCGCCCTCATGGCGGACATTTTGGAAGACGTCTGCTTTGCGAACAACGTCGATGTGGACTCAAGTGCAGTGGTGTGTGGTGCACTCACGGATGGCGACATAATATGTCAGGTGAGAAGTGCAGAACCTGTCACTGCCAGCGACGATGATGAGGAGAAGGACGAAGCACCAGTGCGGCCCTCTGCTGCGGAAGGCATGGCCGTATTGAATGCTGCCCGTCTTTTTTTAAGTTTTGAAGAAGGTGGAGAAGAGGCCTTCCGCCAAATTCGCTCGTTAGAGCAAAAAGTGCTGGCTGTCGCTTTCAAGGAAAGAAGGCAGACCGCGATCACAGATTTTTTCAAAAAATAAATTGTTATGCCCTACTCACAGTGCACTAATTGTTGTCCTTTACTTTCGTTAGTTAGAACTTTTGTTAATTCAAACTGAGGCAGCTTTCCTTTGCGGTTCGAATTAACGAGCTTTAACTGCATAAGTCGCACCGTAGTATAAGTCGCACCGACGAAAAATTCAGAAAAAATTTGTGACTTATACATAAAAAAATACGGTACGTATGTGGCCTTCTGTCATGATAGCAGTATAAAGAAAAACAATGCCAGTTGCTTTCACGTGTGCTTTGGTGTGCTGCTTCTGGCTTCAGCGATTTCGTTTTTTGTTTGAGCCGTGTGTACCCATGTTAACAACCTTGTGAAACCCCCTGCGAAATCCTCATGGATGGCAACTTGTGTGTAAAAATGCACAATTTCCAGAATGTACTCCCTACCTGCCCAGCTGGTGCCTGCTCACCCGAAGGTCATGTGATATAACTGTGGTTGTAATGGTAATATTTATTGTAACTTTTATTGGTAACTAAAAGGGTGGCATTGCCAACATGCAAAAGTAGTTTTTTTTTTTTAATTTTGGTTTTGAGTGGGGGTGGCAAGGGGGGGGAGGGGACACATTTGCACATGCGCTCGCAGCGGTGAGAATGACGCTGGCTCGTGGGGTGCAGGGCAGCCTACCCGCCTCGCGTTATCAAGCGCGCAAAAAATCTCGCCTGTTGCATCGTGCGCACCTCTGCCGCCGAAGCGGCTGCGAGGCAGCTGCACAAGACGCATGCTCGCACTGAAATACCGAATTGCGGAGCAAAATTCTTAGCCAGATTGTCTGTGGCGAAAATTCATTACATCAAGGTTGTCTTGCACTCGTACTTTGTTACATAGAGGTCAAAAAATACATGTACTTCTATGGAGCAACGACGGGGAATAGAAAAACTTTGTTATATTGAGGAATTCGTTGTATGGAGGTTTGTTATAAGCAGGTTTAACTGTAGTAATATTTCTATGTAGTAGTACCAAGGCCAGATAAACACAACTAAGGCTGCTCGCTTGATCGATAAACTACAGTGTCGTGGTTGTACACCTACCAATAAGCGCGCAAGTGGCCAAAGAGCCTCGTTTTTGTTTACAGCCGAGTTGTTATAAAACGCTGCATTCCCACACCGTTTAATATTTTTCATGTTTGGGAGGATCCCAAGAGCATTTTGCTGTGTGCTTGCAAAACAGAAAGTGGCACCCAATCTTAAGTTATTCTGGTGAATGGATATGACGACAATAAACAGCACTCTGGAAAGTTGCACTCGTCGATATTATTACAATGCATTAGCAGCCGATCAAGACCAAATGCTTTCATACATCGTTTCAGGCATATGTAGAAGCAGTTACACTCGCGCTGACATGGCCGGATAAACCACGCTTTGAGAACGTTCATGACGTATGCATAATAGAAATACGACGTGGCTAGCAGATGACGCACGAAGCAATCCACACTTGCGCGATTCAGCCATTTGCTGCCAGGTGGCGACTCCACTCGATCTCGCGGCAAATTGCAAGACAATTCTTCATTTACTTAGTTGTAACTAATACTTCTTTATATCCAGGTTCCTTATATCGAGGTTTGAGTTTATCATTAATGTACGGTCTATTTGCATTGTGCATGCAGTCTGAGTAGAACATTTGAAAATGCTTGAAGAGCTTCTAATACATGAAGGTGTGGCCTGCACTGAACAAAAGCATGTTCAACTGTTTTAGCTGGAGAAACTTGGGCACAATATAACCGAAAAATAAAAAACGCATGTCACTTAACAGACATAAAACACCACTTTGGAACTGGCCTATTGTAGTGCTAGGGCTATTTATTTATGTCCCATGCCTTCCACTTTTTATAACAGTGTGTGTGAAATGATGTAGGAACAATAGTATACTCAGTAGTGCTTTAATTTCTTAATCTAAATGTTTTTTCCCTTTATCACAATTTATTCAGCTCAATTTTGTGTTGGTTGTTGTCTTCATGTTCATCTTTGTTCTGTTCTGCTTCAGTCACTGACAGGGGCTCCAGACTCCAACTGTATCCTTAGCAGAGTCGTACTGCCAGATGGCTCCTCTACTGTAGTTCGAGTCCATCGGGGTGAGACTGTTGGTGCCATGCTTATGCTGTTGCTGCAGAAGCGCTCACTGACTTACTCTGTTGTGGACATCTTTGTGGCTGGCTCTGACAAGGTTAGCTGCTGAATGAATACCATTGATGGGACTCACCTAATTCAGCTTTGTTTTTCCTTTGCAGCCTATAAGTCCAAATGTTGACGTTACAATGGTTGGGTGCAAGGAAATTCATGTTGAGCCACGGGCAGTGTTCTGTGTGATTCTACCTAACAGCAAGATGCTTGGAGTGAAGGCAGTTCCCCGCCGCTCATGTGGAGAAGTGCTGCGTCCCATATTAGCAAAGTATAGTGTCCAATTGGAACACGTGACTCTGCGCATGGTGAGTCTTATTTGTATTTTGTGAGCATGTTTCGAGGTTGAGAGATAAATATTGGTGCTTCGCGCTTTTTTTTTGCAAGTGCAGTAATTGGGTCCAATGTTGTTCGTGATTGTATTTTCACTAATTTATGTAAATAGAGTGCAATAGAACCTTACAGTTACGTTTCGAAGTGACCGTAACAAAAGTACGAGTCCGAAAAACGGAAAAAAATGGCAAAATATTTATTGGTACAGACCTTCATTTCAATACAGTAGAACCTCGTTATAACGAAGTGGTATATAACAAACTAATGGATATAACAAAGCAATTGTAATGTTTTTGAAATTTCTGTAGATGTCCATGTATTTGAAACCTCATTTTAACAAAGCTGAAATTTCCTCACAATAGATATAATAAACCATCCTTTGTCTACAACGGGCATTTACTGATCATTTCGGTATACGTCAATTCAATATCTTATAGTGCGCGACGGTTTACGTCTTATCATGGCTGTGGTTATTCAAAACTCTCGCCTTGTGCTTGCCGGGAGTCACCTGCCAACACGCGCGTGGGTGTGAGTCTCCCTGACTCCCCTTTGCTCAGGAACTAGCGTACTTGCCCGTGCTGCATCTCGCGCGAGCGTATGCGTCAGCCGGCCACTCCTGTCCTGTAGAACTTGTTGACCCGCCCGTGCATCTGACCTCCATGGCACTGCGCCGTGCTCCCTACTGGCTGTGTGCTGCAGAAATGAGGTGCCTTCTTCCTCTTCTAACCACTACCACCACCACTACCACCTCTTTCTCCCCTTCATCTCCGCGCTGGGACGGCAAAGATTGTGGCTTTGATTCTTGTCATTCGCTGTAGCTTTGCCAACTAAAGCTTTGCCAACTCTATTAGTTTCCGCCGCCATACACGAGATGCACAATGGCAGCAGCAAACGTAAGCGCAAAAATATAACAATCGAGTGGAAATCGGCAATGTTAAAAGCCGTTGAGTTCGGCTTCGAGAAAAAAAATATGTAGTCGAAGATTTCGGCGATGTCGCCAGTGAGGGTGCCGCAGGCGACCAGGCCCAGACGTCGTGGAACGCTCTTCTTTACGCCGACGTTGTGCCTAACTGCAACACTTTCTGCATGTACATCGGTGCTGATGCTGACGCTGTGACACCGAAAGAGCTCCCAGATGAAAAAATTGTGCGCTCGGTGATGGGGGGGCATGACGACAGTGACAAATGTGTCTATACCCCGGAGCCAAATGTTTGCTAACCGGACGTACCGAAACCCGCGCAAGCACTGGATGCGAGAAACCTGCTGCGCCGCTTCTTTGGTGCTTACAATGACGACGAGGACGGACTCGAAATAGCTGCTGAAGCTGAAAAAGCAGTCATCCACGTGAAGAAGACTTGGTAAAAGTATGTTAAAGATAATTTTTTTTTTTTTCGAAGTGATCTGCCAGCTGGTGTGCTGAATTAGGTGAAATGAAGTGCATTGTTCTTTATTATTTTGTTAGTTTTTTGCCTTCCGACGGCCGTTTTTCTCTGCGCGGTGGGCTGCTGTGATATTTGGTAGTGAGTATGTTCTCTCTTGCTGGCTAATTGTCAGCAGAAATGGATATTGGGTATAACCAACTAATGGTTATAACAAAGTAATTATGACTCCCCCTTCAACTTTGTTATAATGAGGTTTGACCGTACTTACGCTTTAAAAAAAATGTGAACCCTTGCTTGGTGTTTTTACTTATGCCACAGCAGCATAGAAGGTTTTTTCAGTACTGCAGTGTCATATTCTTTTAATGAATCTACCTAATGCCACGATAACCCACACCTCTTAAGTGATCACTTTTGGTGATAACTTCACGGAATTGTCATGAGGTGTGGCGGCGTCTCCGAGCTATAATGTAGCACTGTTGCCATAGTGTTGGACCACCGTGTTGTAGATGGTTTAACACCTCACAAAAGTGAAACTACCCCTAAAATTGATCATCAAAGAAAAAATAACCCCTGCTCCACCAACTCCCAAACTTTGTCACTGGTGCACTCGGCCACGATCTAGCCCGTGGATAGAACTGCAGAGCTGAGCACAGTGTCATTCATAGAAATGTAATCAAGTATACCAAATTTTTTTGGCACCAAAAGTTGTAGGGGTGAAGGAACGAAGCACACACAAAACGACCAGCATGACATTTCACCCGGAACTGCACTAACTCCTTCTACCAATTAGGAGTGATGAGTCCACGCCAATGTGACAGCGGAAACAAACCCCAATCTCAAAGGCCTTACTTTTGTAAGCGCTAAAAACAAGTTGAAAACAATTGAAACAATAGCGCCATACATGCTATCTTTGCAAAACGGATCTCGAAGGCTATGCTTTTGTTCATGGCAACCCGAAGAATGTTGTGCGTGTTGCTTGTGCCACTCATGCGGCTAATCTTGCTGTCAAGCCAGGCCAAGCTGCATGAAAAGTCAACGGGGCGGTTCTGTTTCGGGGTTTTTCGATTGACTCTGAGTGCACTTCACTATGTATCATTACAGAACGGTCCAGCAGTTGTGAAAGAACGGCCGGGTTCCGAGTATATTTAATTCACAGTAGTTATGCCAGGACCGGCATAGAACTGCATTAAACATATTTTATTGTATGTTCTGAATGTTTACTAAATGCCCTAATGTCTGATTTCAATGTGCAGTTTCCTGTGCAAGGTGTGACACTAAAGCCATTGTCATCCAGTGCCCTTGTCACTGATGTTGATGGTCAACACATCGTGGTGCAATTCAAGGAGAATGGTTCTGGTAAATTGAAACCTCTTTCATGAATATTGCATGAGGCATTAGAAAAGAAAGTGTATATATGTGCCTAATTGTAATGAGTTCATTTAATGATGATCCGATCAGTGACCATGGTCTTATTTGATGTTTTGACAAAAACTTCACTCAAGTATCTTAATTATCAAGGAATTATTTCTGATATATGATTAAATGGGCCTTCATGCAGTTCTTAGGATAGGTGTGACATTAAATGAAATGGTGAGAAACTGACATGCTGGAAACTCCGTTCTTGGTAATGCACTGTATCTAGCATGTGTTCAGTTCATTTTGGAATATGCTTGTATTTTCTTTAGGATTCCTTCCCAATTTACTCTGTAATTGGCATTTTTGATTGGCTGAAAAGGCACCACAGTTGCATTGCAAGAAAAAATGAAATAGTAGATGTCTGATATTTGATGAGAAAATAGGAATTGGTATCAACAGTGATACCAAATTCTCATACACTTGCACATGGTGTTCATGTTTATAATGTCGGGGAGTGCGAGGCCAGTATGCACTATTGTATAGTGGGTGGAATCAACTACCAACTAAACAAGTGAAACGTGAGAATGAGCCCCACGCCCCCCCCCCCCCCCCCTCCTTTTGTTTTTTCAGGCCTGGAACATTTTGCTCAAAGTGAGAACAGACATGCAGTTGAACCCACCTATAACAATTTCAGATATAACAATTTATCGGTTATAACAATCATATTTTAGTGTACTTATGATTTTCTTATGCTACCCATTGAAACTGCATCCAGATATAGCAAACATTTTTTAAGGCCTCCTACTTATTCAATGAACGCTTCAGACATTGTCACGGTAAAAGTATGGCGCATACAAAGGGAAAGAAAAAAAGTTAAAACTTGCCTCCTAAAGCTGAAATAAGTGTGGGAGTGTGAGCACCCCCTACAATTTATTTGCGACGAAAATACCCGAGATCGGTGAGCACTACACACAGATTCCTGATGCCTTGAGCAAGATCGCTCACTTTTTGGGTGTTTCTTCTGTAGCAGAATGTCAGTGAGAAGAAAAAAAAAGGAAGCAGCATGGTCTTGCTGTCAGCTTTCGTGCGGAAACATTTTTTAACCCTGTTATTTGCAGCTACGGCTGCCCATGCTATGAACCAAACAATGCCTTGGAATGCATGAACCCCGCAGGGGCGCCTGCGCGAGTAGGCGTTTGGTGTGTAGCGACACCGCGGACCCGAGCTAACGGGGGAGTTTTGACTCCCTCCCACTCGTAGCCGTGCGTGGCTTTGCCGTGTCCGGGGAAAAGGGGATCCTGGGGGTTGAGCCAATGCTGGGTGATTGGACCTTTAAAAACCCCCCAGTGGCGGCAACACACCCCTTTGGCCCCGGCTTCACGTAGACGGCACCCCTGGGCTGACCCACCCAGGGGAAACCAGCAGTCGCCATTTCCTGTCTCTCCCTCTCTTCATCTTCGTCTTTCCCTCTTTCAATCTTTCTTGTTCTCTCCTCTCTTCAATTTACTTCTGTTTTTCCTGGCGGCAAGGGTTAACCTTGTGTGGCTATCCAAACTAGGGTAAACCATATTGGGTTATAGTAACTGCGTACTGCTGGCGTTACGCAGACATGCCCACATGCTCTGCCACGTCCCCTTGTTGGACTCCGTGGTGGGTGGTAGGCGCCGTTACCAAAAAAATCCACATTTTCTCATGGGATCCTCGACCCCCTCTCTAACTGATCGTGCCTTGAAAAGGGTACGCACTGACACAACTTCACTACTTTGGCCCAAAAACAGAGAAACTTTCCCAAAATACCATGTCCTCCACTGCGAACAATCATCTACAAAAGCTAGAGCAATCTCACCCTTCCTTGTGGCCAAGTGCTTGAGAGAGACCATTGGAACCAGTTATAAGGCCACGAAGATGGCAAGTGGAGATCTGCTTCTCGAATTAAAAGACAAGGAACAGTACAATAAACTCTCGCACCTTGTAGCCTTTAGTAACATCCCCGTCTCTGTGAGCGCACACCGTACCATGAACACAGTGAAGGGCATGGTATCGGACGAAGATTTGTTGACACTGAGTGAAGAAGAGCTCCTTGATGGATGGAAGGACCAAGGTGTAATACATGTCCAGAGCATCAAAATCGGACGTAACAACAACGAAATAGCAACGAAGCACTTGATACTCACCTTCAACTCAACCACTTTACCTGAGACTCTCGAAACTGGCTATATAAAACTCCATGTCCGACCCTTCATTCCAAACTCGAGGCGTTGTTTCAAATGCCAGCGATTTGTTCATGCATCCCAGAGCTGCCGAGGGCAGCTGTTCTGTGCTAAGTGTGGCACAACCGGCCACAGTGGTGATGAATGTAGTCACGATAAGGTCCTCTGTGCTAACTGCGAAGGTAGTCACCCCGCATACTCCAGAGCGTGCCCAGCCTGGAAAAAGAAAAAGAAATAATAACTATAAAAGTAAAGGAAAATATCATATTCAGGGAAGCAAGACAACGGATCTCGTTAACATTGGCACTAAAAACACCTTTCGCCGAAGTGGTGCAACGAGGGGCGGCACCACAAAGGCCCTTGGCAGTTGTCCGTAGGGTGCCTTGATGCCCGCGCGCTCCGCTGAGGGTGAGGACAGCCGCGTCGTCTGCTACAACCGCCGCCATTGCGCCTCCCCACCACAACTCGACCGTATGCAAAGCCCGCTACGCAACGCTCGTGTGGTGCCCTGATACGCCCGGAAGCATGTGCAAGCTAGCGAGCTTTTCTTCTTATTGAAGCTTGGACATCTTTTAGAGTTAATTTTGCCTGAATGCATGCAGTGAGCGCATATTTCATGTAAGCTGACGGTTGCGTATGATTTATGCGCTAGAGGCAGACGCTGACTCTTTCATGTTGAAAACAAATCCCTACGCCGGTTACCACAGAGGGGCTTCTAAATCTATATCGGTGGCGTCGTTTATATGCTTTCTTTGTTAGTGTTAATTATTATCTGAGGCTTTTACGTTCTAAAATGACGCCTGATTGCAGGACTGCAGCAATTTTGACAATCAGTTTTTTTTTTTTTTTTTTTTTTTGCCTGCACTAACACAGTACATGGGTGTCCTCTGGTGTTTTACGTTATTCAAAATGAGACCGCCGTGGCCTAGATCGAAAGCGTGAGCCTCGCGTCAGCAGCCGAGCACCGGGCCCACGGTACCATTGAGGCGGACGGCTTTCTTATTGCATTAATTATTTCTCCACGATCTTCTCATCGCACAACTTGACTTGTTTTTTTTTTTGTTTTTTTTTTTTTTTGCGACATAGCGTGTTCATTCTACACAGCGGTGCCCCGTCTTGTCTTTATGCATCTTCTTTGTATGGACGCTTCGCGAGTACAGTTTGCATAAGCACTTGCGTATGATCCCTGATAGCTCACGGTATTAATAAATAAATTATTTACTTAAATAATAATGCGTGCTGAAAGAGTTTAAATACTGACGGTGTGTGTGTGTGCGTGTGTACACGCCTGCCGTTTCCCCTATTATCATCCAGTGTAGAAATAATTTATTTTTGTGCATTAATGCAACGCTGCCAGAAGCAATTCAAATTATACGCTCCATGGCAGAATTCACTGAGTACTGTCACTAGTTGCTCCGCAGTGGTCGTAAATGATTAAAAAAACAACATCAATTGCGTAATGATTCGAGACAGGACGAAAAGAAAACTTGAAGTGCAGGAACAATGAAAAAAATTTGAACTGCACACATTCTTACAAGGGTCATCACACCAGCATAGAAGGCGTACCTAAACAGAGGAAAAGATCGTAGAAAGAAAGAACCTGTGTGGCTTTGTAATGGTTTGGGCGCTCGAACGGTCGGTTATCGAATTCCGGCCGCAGTGGCCCCACTTCGATGGAGATGAAATGCCGGAGTTCTTAAACTTAGGTGCAAGTTACATAAAAACACCTGTTCAAAATTTCCGAAGTCCTCCAATCTATACCGCGTCTCTCGTGATCATATGGTGATTCCGTAACGTACACACACTCTTCAAACTTCATTGGGTGCGACACCACCGCTGCACAAAGCTTTATTCCCACAAATGAATATTACGAAAAAAAAACAAGGATATCATCTGCAAAGAAACACGTGTAATATATATTTAATGATAAAGTTCTCATCGCACATAGTGAAACCAAGAATGAAGGGCAGATACAGTACCAACCAAGAGCAGCAAGCAATGTTTACGAAGTGAAATACGCGATTCATGCACACGAGAATCAAGCATACAGCCGTCAGCGTGTCTGTTGCTTACACGAAATTGGTGCCGGTACAAATTATGCATGCGGAATACCGGCTGGAAACTTACGCTGTGAATGGATGATCTGTTTGTCGGATGCCACTTGTCATGTTTGACTTTCACTGTTGAAAAGGCCTTCATTTCGGGTCTCTTAGGAAACGATACAGCTTCCAGAGTTTCTGCAATGATTAGTGCCCTGCGGCATGCAATACCTGCTACGGTGACGGTAGCGAGCGCCAGCACAATTATTCAGGCGCAGCGAACACGCAGAAGTGACTGAGTGGAGTCAAAATGGCGGCCATGCCGCCGCTAAGGCCGAGGAGGCGGCACCTGCCCTTACAAAGGCCGACACCACTCTAAGCGGGGGCGCGCTCATCGAGGCACTCTAGTTGTCCGGACCGCGCCTAGCGTGCCGAGGCTAACGCCACAAGCCCCTACGGCGGGAGCAGCCAGCGCTGCCCTGCCCACATTCAGCCTGTCGACACCAGCGACCTCTACAAGCTCTGGCAGCAGCCAGGGCAATTACGAGGCCAAGGGGGCTTTATCGACCCCCAGCTCAGTGGGGACAAAGACTTCGTCGATTGCGGCGAAGTCTAAGCGACGCACAGATCGCTCTGTAGAGCGGGCGTCCAGTGCCTCGCAAGAGGCTATGGACACCAGTTCAAGCCTAACGGCGCAGGAAGCGCCGAAGGAGCGGCGAGCTTCTCTCGACCGCCCCAAAAAAGACAAAAT